ACACCAATGCCCCAACGAAAGACAAAACGCCGTAAGCAAGAAAATCCAATTGGCCAAATCCAATGGAGGTTGGTGTATTGGGCCACTACCCTCACGGGAAATGAGGGCGTGGCGACACCATCATTCAGTTCGATGTTTCTTGGCAAGCAACGCTTCGATCTGCTGCATTTGGGTGGCAAACAGGGCTTGCATATGCTGGCCTTGGCTGTCGAGCTGATGGGTCACTTGGGTTTGAAGAGTGGCCAATTGGCTGTCCGCTCGCATTGCATTGTCATCAATTTTGGATTCGAGGGCTTGCTGATTCATTGTGAGGCTCTGCACTTGCTGCTCAAGTGCTGCAAAACGGGCTTCATTGGTTCCAGTGGAATCCACTTCCATGTCGGTGGTGGGGATCTTGGCCATGATTTTGTTTTCAAGACGAGTCTCGAAGTCACGCAAAGCAGCTTGGGTGTCAACTGGACCTGTGGAGACAGAAGCAGGCGGGGCACCCCAGGGATCTTGAATCAGCCACGGGTCGGAGGCGGGCGTAGTGGCGGTCTTTGTGCAGAGCTGGACCGTGGCAGGGCTTCCGATCACCTGTGAGCTGGGCTGGGCCACCGGATCAGACTTGTCATGAACTTTGGTGATCACGACTTCAGCCCCTTGATAACGCACCACGGCATTGGGAGGGTGAACGCAGGCCTGCACAAGCCAGACAGTACCCAAAGCATCTCCCACAGAGCGGCTTGGATGCAATGGCCTGGCCTGCCATTGCCACTGACTGCAGAGGCGCGAGACAGTGAGTCTATCCATGCCAAAAGGCAATGGACCCACTTCGAACGTCATCTTGGCTCCGGCGGCAAGGAAGATTGAGCCCGGTTTCAATTGTCTGGCGAGCTCAGGGGCGTCCTCGGTTTTGGACCTGACTCCGAGTCTGGATCCGAGCCTGGCAAGGCCAATGACTTGGGGCGTACATTGTTGGATCCTGAGGAGCTCGTCGTGTGCAGTCTTCGGAAGCCAAAGGACCTGGAAACTCAGGAGCGGATCCCTGGAATCAACTGTCCTGGGTTCGGCGAAAATGCCATTGCGGCCACTGCAAGACAAAACACCCAACTGAACCGACTCAAGACACCTCAAGTTGAAGAGGAAGATCTCAGCTTGTTCTGGGGCGACCGGACGAAAGGACGCAGAGACCCACTGGCGACGCCAAACATCAAGAACAGGATCTTCCACAATGTCAGTGGGGTTTGGGTGCCACTTGCCACATGTGCATGGTTGTGTGGGTGAACCCTGACGACAGGCTTGGAGGGGCAACAACCTGGCAAGCACATATTTCACTGGGGACTTGATGACCTGACTCCAATCGTCAGTGACCATGTCTCGGTAGACCGCAATTTTGCAACAAGCCGCAGGTGCATGCAGAAGGTCTTGGGGACCACTGTCGGACTTGGGGACAACTGCAACCTGACCAAGTTGGAGGAGGTACGCAGGGACAATCATGGGCTCAGAGTTGGCTTGGCAACGCAGGACAACACGCAAGAAAGACCACGACAGTGAGGTGACAAGCTGGCTGTCTTCCGCATTCAGCAAGAGCAACGCAAGTGATCCTTTTGACACGAGTTGGCCCGCTTTGAGGTATGCAGAGGCTTCATCGACTGTTGTCAGAACTACCCCTTGAGCAATGGGCCCAATGGTGTTCAAGTGGATTTGGCCAAGTCTGGTGCCATCAGGGGCAGTGAAAGCCTCTTCATCGATAGTTAACTTGCTTGGATCCAGTGCTCGTGGCATCTCAGGTTTGGTGGCAGGCTTTGGCTGGGTAGCCTGCTTTTTCCGCTTTGTACGGAGGCCGCCTTGATCAGCTTTCTTTTGGACAGCTTGCTCAAGTTCTTGGGGGAGGACAAGTTGGAAGACTGGTCGGCATTTGTTGGCAACAGCTTTCAAGGACCTCCATGGCTGGCCAGATGTCAAGGCACCCTGGATCGCTGGAAGTCCTGCAGCCTGAGTCAGCAAGGAGACGCGGTGCTTGATTTGGGCAGGATCAACTCCATGTTCAATCAGCAAAGCTTGCAGGCGATCAAAGGCTTTTGGGTCAAGTCCAGCGGCCCAAATCCATGGTCTGCTAACTGTAGCACAAGTGTCCAAGAACTGAACATACTGGGATTTGGCTGCAGCATTAAGTTGTTTCACCTCGTCCATGTTGGATGGCAGCATCTTTCCACGAAGCATGTGATCCAGAAAACGGACAGCGCACAACCACAGTACTCAGTCACGGCAAAGGACCTATGCACAGCATGGACAGTCCAGGTACGTGATCCCAGCGCACTCGCAAGACCTTGGTGCAAGACGGCCAGTGACGCAGACGCCGGGCCCGGGATATCCCAACAAGAAGCAATCATGCAATGGGCAGTCCAAGTCCAAAGAAAAGGAATCCAATGGTTGTCAACCTGGACCACCCCAATGATGGCAGTGGGTCGCACAGACAAAGAGGAAATCCACTGTTGCAAAAGCTTGCTGCTTGGTCTCTTCAAAGCTTCAGCTGCCAGGAGTGGGTCGAGCAATGCCCAATTCGGCTTCTTTGCGGCCTGCAGAAGCTGTTCAGCATGCCAAAGAAGCTCATCGTCAGCACAGAGTGTTCCTTGGTTGGCCAAGATGAGCTTACGAGATTGGACATCGATGGATTGCTTGCGCAAGGCTTGCAACAAACCCACGTCAGTGACAGATGGCTCCGGGACAAGACAAAGACGATGAGCGTCAAGCGACACCAACGGTTCAGGCACTGGGTCCCTGGGTGTAACAGCCAGCGAGGAACCAAAGAGTTCAGGTGGATCACAAGTAGCGGACTCATGTTGTGGATCTTCAGCAACCCAAGGGACAGTGGGAGACACATCTTCAATGGCCAAGAGCTTGGACATGGATGGCACAGCCCCAGTAATCCAAAGACACAAACCAGCAGCAGGGGTGGTTGAACCAAGGGTCAGTCCAGTACTGCAGTCGATCACTGAACAGTCTTCAGCCGCAAGGTCAAGGAGAGTGCATGTGGCATGGATGACGTTTGCAATTGAAGTTCCTGGGTCAGAAAGCTTGGTCACAAATGGGGTGCCGTCGAGACAATGGACAATTGTGACTTCATCAGCTTGGCCCTTGTGGGTGTACTGGGCCCAAGGCGTCAGTGAGATGTCATCCAATGTCAAGTCCATGGTGGATTCAACAGGTGGTTCCGGCAACATGATGGGGGCCACTGGAGCAAAATCCAAGTGCTCTGCAAGGACACTGACACGGCCACGCAAGTCCAACAAACAGCCCATAGGAACCAAATTGGATTGACCGAAGAAGACAGTGTCCACATGACATTGCAACAGTGACGCGATCCAGACGGACTGCAAAGGTGATGCCTGCTGACCAAGACCTGCCAAACACAACCGAAGATATTGCGGCCAAATCATCTCAGGCACCCCCGTCAAAATGGCAACCTCAGTTGGATGAGGGTGACGCACTCGAGGGACATCTGGAAAACGGGGATCAGGCTCGCCAACAATCGGAAACAAAAGTCCATACAGTCCACGGCTTTGAAGTGTGGCTGACGAAAACCCGGCTGACCTGCAAAGGCATTCACACTTTGTCACTTGGGAACCCCATGAATGCAAAGCAGTTGGTGCTTTGCCTCTGGATGGCAAAAACATCTTGGCAAGTCTCGGCTGGTATGTCAGGAAAAGTTCAAGCTCTTCACCTTTCAGCTCAAGCTGTTGCAGATGCTCAAACGACATGGCCATGGGGGCCGGCAAAACATCACGAGGCACGGCTGGCTCGGGCAAAGGCTCGGATGCACGGAGTGGAACTGGCCCTACGTAATCTACCATCAGTGTGGCCCACCATCTAGTCCTGCGTGAAACCCAAATGGATTCAAGTTGTAACACAACCTCGGATAACCAGAAGCCACACTGATCTCGGAAAGATTCAATTTGCCGGCGAACCATCGAATTTGTTGCAGCGTCCTGTACACACTCTAGGATGACTCCTACGGAGCGCGGCATGAAGGCCGCTCTGAGCGCACTGTACAACGTGCTGGATCTCTGGTCATCGGCTCCCCGCTGAGATCCTCCAGCACTGAACGGCTGACAAGCAAAGCCACACATGACAACTGCCGGGGACGGATGCGCTTTGTACAAAGACTTCAGTGTATCCTTAGAAGCTATGTCTCCATGAAAGCAAGGCACATCAGGATGCATGGATCGAAAAGCTTCGACGAAAGGCAGTGACCAATCAGCTGCTGCGACTGACTTCATTCCAGCAGACTGAAGTCCGATTGTGCCTACACCCAAGCCTGAGCACAACTCAACGACATTCAAAAAGGATTCCCTGTTGCTACGGCCAAACAGCAGGATGTCAGTCGGGTCATCCACGAAGAAGCACGGGAGGGGATCCTTCTGAACCAGGGTGGCGTCAAACACTGAGATCGAAGCGCATCCTTCAGGTACCTGCAGCGTACCAATGATTTTGGCCTGTTGGCGGCCAGGGAGTAGCGTGACAACCACGGCATCACCTGCATGGGCCACCACCTCTGCCGTGATGTCACAAACAGTTCCAACCTCCATGTTGTTCTGGTACCCCCATCGAATTTCTGGGCCAGGATTACCCCAAAGGGACATGGCAACGAACCGATCACGTTCGGACAAAAACCAACCGAGCTTTAGCTAGCCCAGCATTCCCCGCTGGGAGGGACTCGGTCCAGAATGCTTAAATAAAAAAGTTCGAAACCACCAAACAGATTAATTTGCAGTATATCATTTACAAGTTAAGTTGGACAAGATTCTCGGATTTTCGTTGTCCATCCAGGAGATGCCTTCCCCCTGAAGGGAAACCCTCTGGTAAACTAACGTAGCTAAGAAAATTGCCATAGAAATAGTGGATTTACCCATTAGAAATAATGATTTTCCATAGTTATATATAGTTATGATAGTTTACCAGAGGGTACCCCCTTAAGTTCATCCACCATCACCATGACTTGGTGCAGGTCAGGCTACAATCAGCGTCATGATGCCAATGAAGCTGGCGGCCAAAAAGTTCACACGATAGACTAAGAAGGGCACCAAGGCATGCATGTGAAAATACATCCTGGCTACGGCAGCTAATGATGCTAATGGGTAACCGAACAGTTGACAACATACTGGTTGGAATATTTTGGGCAATACCCATGGCTACTAGCTATTGACAATTGATGGCAAAAACTAATGGTCAAATTGATGGTAATCGAAGAGTCTGGGATGGAAAGTTGCCATTTAGACCACTGATAGATTTTCTACAAATGGGTCATGCTCCATGGTGACGAGGCCAAGGGTCTTCCATCGCAGGGTATCCATGGGTATCCCACTTTGTTTCCTTGCATTTCATGTGTGTGAAGAGAGGGCACCAGGGTTCACTCCATCTGCAAAACTTGAAAAACAACCACACGATATATGAGATGGAATTGAAGCAAACACAACTAAAACCAAATAATCCAAGATTAGTCGAAGTGCCTCAGATTGGATCTTAGTTTCAAGTATTTCCCCACCTGCCAGGTGAGGGTTGTTAGATTTTATCAGAGCTGTTCTCCTCCTCCTCCTCCGCCTCCTCTGCCTCCTCCGCCTCCTCACCCGCCGCCTCCTCCTCGCAGTCCAGATCCCAGTGGGCACAGCCGGACCTCCACCGCGAGCTCCAGATCCCAGTGGGCACTGCCGGACCTCAACCGCGAGTTGCAGATCGCAGTGGACACTGCCGGACCTCAACCGCGACTTCCAGGTCGCAGTGGGCACTGCCGGACCTCAACCGCGACTTCCAGATCGCAGTGGGCACTGCCGGACCTCAATCGCGACTTCCAGATCGCAGTGGGCACTGCCGGACCTCAACGGGAAGAATGTGCGAAAAGATGTCAGATAGAATGTCAGAAGATATGCCAGATAGAATGCCAGAAAGAATGTCAGAAAGAGTGTCAGAAGATATGCCATACAGAATGTCAGAAGATATGCCAGAAAGAATGTCAGAAGATATGTCAGATAGAATGTCAGAAGATATGTCAGATAGAATGCCAGAAAAAATGTCAGAAGATATGCCAGACAAAATGTCAGAAGGTATGCCAGATAGAATGTCAGATACAATGCCAGTAGGTATGCCAGATAAAGTGCCAGAATGTTTGCCAGATAGGATGCCAGAAGATTTGCCAGATAGAATGCCAGATAGAATGTCAGAAGATATGCCAGAAGATATGCCAGTTAGAGTGCCAGAAGATATGCCAGAACAGATTGCAGAAGATATGCCAGCTAGAATGCCAGAAGATATGCCAGATAGAATGCCAGATAGAATGCCAGAAGGTATGTCAGATAGAATGCCAGAAGATTTGCCAGTAACAAAATGTATTAATGTCATGGTGGGGATAACTCGAAGTAAAGTAATTGTTTTTGCGGTGATCTCCGCACTTAGTTTCGAAAAAAATGGAATCCCACTGGTCACTTCAGGTCATTTCCTTCCTTTGGCTTAAGGAACCAAGGGATTGCTTGGGCCATCGGGACAGGAGAAAAATCTAAGTGAGTAGTATTTATATGTTGGCATGACTATATATGACTGGATTCATGGCATGCTATTACACATTACATTTTCATACCACATAAGCAATGTTCCGATGTGCAATGTTTATACCATGCCCCCTACAATTTTAAACCCTGAGAATCACTACGTACATTTTTTCTTGAGAGGAATGTAGATGTAGCCTTCCAACCCCCGAACTCATGACAGGGTCGAAGTTTGAGGGATGCACTTCCAGTGTGGCGGCACCTGCTGTTCTGATCAATTTTAGCGTAGAAGCTCTCCTGAAGTCCTAAGTTCGATGGCGACATCCCCTGGCGACCCTCCAATGATCCTCTGGTGAAGTCAGCTCCATGACGGGTTGTTGGGAAATCCCAGTGGCCTAGATGTGTTTTTTTTGATAGCTGGGAAAATTAAATGAAGTGACAATGGCTGAGCCACCAGGGGCCCCAAAAAACATGAATAAACAACCATGAAGAAACAAACGTTCAAGTGGGATCATCATAAAATGTTTCGGATGGAACTTGATGGAATATAAAAAACAGAACTGAAACTAACAATTGCTGCTCAAATTTGGAGAAGCCTCCTCTGGACAGGCCCGGGCCCACGGGCCCTGCGGTACGAGCCCTTGAGGGCCCTTACGGACCCTTACGGGCCCACCTACGGACCTCTACGGGCCCACGGGCCCACTAAGGGCCTACGGACGTAGGGGCCCCACGGGCCCACGGGCCAACTACGGGCCCACGGGCCTACATGACATGGACGGATCCCGGAAAGAGAAGGATACACGAGATCTTACAATAAAGGATCAAGGACGTGTGCAAATCAAAATGTTGTTGATGATGATGGTGATGATGATGATGATGCTGCTGATGCAAGATTCATGATGTTAAGATGTTAAGATGGTGAGGTGCAGGCTGATGATGTTAAGGATGATGATGATGATGATGACGATGACGATGACGATGACGATGATGATGATGATGATGATGATGATGCTGATGCTGATGCTGATGTTGAGGATGATAACGTTGAGGAGGAGGAGGATGAAAAGGAAAATGATGCTGATGTTGCGGAAGATGAGGTGGAGGTTGAAGATGTTGAGGATGATGAGGTCAAGGGAGTGGAATGATGATGTTGACAATGATGATGTTGATGAGGAGGAGGAAGGTAATGATGTTGAGGAGGACGATGTTGAGGAGGAGGGCCGATCCCAAGACCGGGACACACACTTTGCGTGAGCCTGCACAATCGACATGCACATGGACATGTCACAAGTCACAAAAGCATTTTTACCCGAAACTTTACAGCATAAAACTTGAGACCCAAAGGAAGCCAAACTCGCACCGCACGTTTTCTGCGAGCCTGCGCAGTCGAAATGCACAAGAGCAATTTTAGAGCCATTCTAGATGAGACTTTGCAGGAAAGGGGGCGAGAACCCAGACTAAGCACCTCGATCAAGCACCGGCCTCAACTCTTGAACATCAGCAACCGATTCGAGGCCCCAAATGGCCGTCACTTCTGACCATGCTGCTCCGCTGGAGAATCTTTTCTGAAACGCACCCCAACTGTGAACGTTTGGCAGCACCCTGCGGGATGAAACCAACCGTCGATGTTTGACTACATCATCATGGTAGATAAGGGGTCAACCCTGCTATTTGTTTATCTGCCCCGTTGATCTGCCGGATCAATCAACGTATTCAAGTTAATTTCGTGGTAACTTCATTTCAATCAGCTGTCAATGCTGAAGATATAAAGCTCTACGGAGCACAAGTTGCAACTCACCGGGCCAAAGCTTTGCAGCAACAAAAGGAAAGCAAAACTGCACAGGGGCAACGCTTTGCAGCAAAAGGTGGCAAGCCACAGGGGCAAAGAATAAACACCTACCATTATACATACAAATTATTCAAAGCTTTGCTCCTATGTATATGGTGGAGCAGAGCTTTGAAAAAAACGTGCAGCCGTTTCGCTGCAAAACTTTACCCCTCTGGCTTGCAAATTTGTTCTGCAAAACTTTGTCCCTGTGGCTTGCAACTTTGTGCCGCAAAGCGTTGCCCCTGTGCAGTTCTGCTTTGCTTGTGCTCCGTAGAGCTTTTTATCTTCAACATTGACAGCTGATTGAAATGAATTGACAGCTAGTTACCATGAAATTATACAACCTATTCATCAATATACCTTTTTGTCGGCCTCTCTGCTTATCTGATTATCTCTCTGTATAGTTTTCTGCCATCGAACAGGCCCGGGCCTGGGGCTCCCCAGGGGACAATGGCCCAAATTTGCAGCACCCGAATCCAATGTTTTTCATGCCAAAGATTACTTGAATATATGTGGGTCTTCTGCATAAGGAAAGTAGAAGGCTCGCGATATCGTCTTGCAATTACGAGCCCAGCAACAAATATATCGCTATGACTTCTCTCTCTCTCTCTCTCTCTTTCTCTTTCTCTTTCTCTCCCCGTAAAATCAGAAACCTATTGGGCATTCCCTCCAGTACTTCCACGCTATGGAACATGGATAAACATTGCCCATTTAGTTCGATGATTCAGCTATATAGGCTGGGTTAAGAATACTCCTTGTTTAAAGTTTTTTAGACTTTCTTGGGCCAGTAGGTTTCCCAATGATTTCCCACAGAATGCTGGGAAAACCTGAAAAAAACATTGAAATCCCACATGAAATCCAATTCACCTTCCTCGAGAACCCCAATGGACTCCCAAGAAAAGCAAATGAAACCCTGCAGAAGCAATTTGAATCCTGCCATTTTTTTTTCCTCTCAGACAAGTACAGCCTAATAAAATTCAACACACACACACGCACATCTAACACAACCCCACATGAGCCTAGGAAAAATAACAATAAAAAAGAAATATGTCCTAAAAAAAAACTTTATAGAAATGGGTCAGCCCCAGTGGAATCCCAACCAATCCTAAATAAATCCCAGAAAAACAAAAACTGAAAGAACACAAAAAAAAAGGGGGAAAGCCTCCAGCAAGCAAACAACCCGGATTCTTCTAGGAGTAATTATTTATGTCAAATTCTTCCAGTTTTTTCATGGGTTTCTTCAAGGCCTTGTTTTTTTTCAAAAAGACATCTAGCAGAAGTGGTCCTCATCCCCAACGTAGACATTTTACCCATGATACGTTACATATTGATAGCAAAAGATTAAAGTAATCACTAAAGTATACTAAACTGATTGATGGTTTCAACCCCTCTGAAAAATATGAGTTCGTCAGTTGGGATGATGAAATCCCAATATATGGAAAAACATGAAAGTCAGTTGGGATGATGAAATTCCCAATATATGGAAAGTCATAAAATTCATGTTCCAAACCACCAACCAGGTATGGTTTAGTTGACCCAGTTTTCCATTTGGCAACCGAACTGACCGGGTCCAGGCTTCGCTTCTGCAGACCAAAGGCCCGAATGTGAACCAGCCCAGCCAGAACTTCCGAGAAGTGCACATAGAGTGGACTCCTGGGGTGCGCTGGACGCGACCCGACTGAAGGATGGGCACATTCCAATGCTGACTGAGAAAAAATGGAAAGTTGGTATTCAAAGCTGCAAAACTATCATGGAAGGTCCACTGAGGCACCTCAATTGAATCCACCAAGATTTTGCGCGTCGAATGGACATGAAAGGACCCACAGTTTTATTCAGGCACCCACATAACCCGGAATCTTCCCTCGCGCGAAGGTGGCTCCTGGAAACAGATTCCATTCTTTGCAGTTCTCGGAAACTGGCAGTGTAGTATCTGGCGTGGGCGAGAAATGCGAGGAAGCCGGAATCTTGCAACCATTTTTTGTCCAAAGGAAGGACATGTATTGAGATCCGACAGGATTTTAGACAATCTCACAATATACATGCAGTAAAATCAAGTTGTATACAGTATCCGGTA